ATGTCTGTTCTGCAGTACAAGTCCTTCTGAACTCTGTGGATCTGTGTCCATACACGAGGAATGGGCAGACACTGCCTGTGTGAAGTCTAGGTGAGCTTTGAGAGACTTGAACAAATGCTGATAGCAAAACTATTTTAAATGTAATGCAAACCTTGAAATAAGAGTTCCGCTTTATACTTTTATGTAGACAAGTCCCCCTGGCTAACCACAATTTTTTTAATGGATGAATGGAGCAGTGAGCAAAATTTTCTGCTACGGTGTCACTCTTGACATCAAATTCATTTAGTGAAGAGCAGTGTTGGGTGCCCATCAGCCTGTGACACAGTAGCCTTTTTTAACTCTGGTATGATAAGTTAAATGAGTCTTTAGGAACTTAAGGTATGTTAGCAAGTGTTTTAGCTGGGAGTGGAGTGCTTTTTTTCAGTTGACTTGTTTTACCTGTGTGCCACTGTATGGGTCAGTACATAGTATGCTTAGATCTACCAGAATAAATGACTCCAGAACTGTGGTTGAAACATAGTTTCTGTTCATGCAGTAGCTGTATTGCTGTTAGGAGACCTGCTTATCATGAAGAATTTATTTTTTTTAAAGTATTTCAGGTGAAAGCCTTAATCAGGTGCCTGCTCCTTAAGGTAGGGTTGTGGTGTTGTATAGACTGAAACATGACTGTCCTTAAAACTGCAGAGTTTAAGACGCCATAATGAACAGAAGGACGCTCCTGTTGCCAAAGGGCAAGATTGTGGGTTAGATGGGCTTGATCTTGCTCCAGTGGCTCTGGCTAATCACCTCAGGTGAAGTAGCTTTAGCCAACATCTCCTTCTAAGTGAAGTATTCAGAGTGGTCCTGATGACCAGGCACTAGATAAAAGCAGGAGGTGCCCTGTGCGCCACGTGTACTCTGTGCACAACTCTGGCTGAAGTAACACCCGTATGCCAGCAGTAGCACTGCTGTCCTGTCAACATCAAGACCTGCATTATGGATTTCCAACTTAACCTAAGAAAGCAAGTGCTATTCTGGCTTGGTGTTTGCTCTGTCAGAGCAAGATGGAGATGGTCCCTCTACAGCCAAGCTGAACCCCTTAGGGAATTTAATATTTTTGTTTTCTAAGCAGGTGTTTACTTCTATTACAACCACTCTCCTTCAGTGGTGCCGTGGCCCTGTCTGCTTAAGAGCAACTCAACCCAGGCCCACAAGGCTACTGAATCCCCCGTAATCTCTGCAAAGCAGAGTCTTCCTCCAGGTCAGGGTTGAGATGGTGCTAGTGGGACCAGAGTGGTCCCTTTCCATGCACATCAGTATTCTACTCTAGCACTGATAAGGTGCTCCAGAACCATTTACATCTTTATCACTGGTACAGCTCAGAACTAAGACATGGGAGGTTTCTTTCTTTAAGAACAATATCATGTGTGTCTTTTTTGTAATTAATCAGTGTGTTTCTGTGTTCTTATGTAGCTGACACAGAATTTGTATTTAGGTTTAGTTCTTACTGCACTTTCCATAGCCCTCATGTTGATACTTCTTCCTGCTTCCTTTGACACTTAGACAATAAAATTCCCTCTGTACTGCTCTCGGCTTGTGCAGAGAAAACAAGATGTCTATACTGTCTTTCTTTCCAATTTAAACTTTCCTGTTGTCAGTCAGCTGAGAAGTCAAAGGCACAGCTTTGTGGTATCAGATTATGTATAGATGCCCTGTACTCACAACACTGTGGACATGGAAGAACCCTCATTCTCCTTAATCATCTGAACAGGTGAGTACATCTGTACACACAGAGGCAGCTGCCAGAGAGTAAAGTACGTATGTGACTGTGCAGCCAAGGCTAAAACTCACCTTTTTCTCTTAAACTGCCATCAGTCAGGCTAGATGGAAAAAAAAAAAAAAATCA